CGACCTCCCTGCTTGTTGTGCCTCTGTCCCCCTTCATCCCTGCTGTCCTTACAGGGAGCTCAAAGTGGGGATCCCCATCACAGATGAGAATGGGAACCGCCTGGGTGAGTCCACGGCAGCTGCTCAGAAGGCCATCTTCCAGGTGGTGGTGTCCCGCATCGGGATGGCAGCCCCAGCTATGGGTAAGTGCGCAGCCCCAGCCCTGGCCATGTGAGTCAGGTTCCATGGAACTCATTTCCTTTTCTTTTGCCCCAGCCATCCCCCCGGTGATCATGAATGTGCTGGAGAAAAGAGCCTTCCTGAAGGTACAGGGGCAGGAGAGTGGGCGTAGGGATAGCCCACTAGCACTGTGCTGGAACCCTGCATGGGAACAGCACCTGCCTATCCCACTGACACCAAACTGTCCCCTACAGCGGTACCCGTACCTGAACGCTCCCCTGCAGGTTGGCCTGGTTGGACTCTGGTAAGTGACCCCAGGGTGCGTCCCAGGGAGGTGGGATGAGGGTGATGCCCTGTGCCAGGAACAGGTTTGCACTTGGTAGGACAGATGATGCCTCAGCATCCTTGTTGGCCCCACACTGGGGACTGAGGTCTGGGGCTGGGAGGGCCCCTCCTCATCTCCTGGCTGCCTCCACTGCTCTCCTTGTCTTCTCCATGCAGCTTGGTGTTTGCAACCCCACTGTGCTGCGCACTCTTCCCACAGAAGAGGTAAGGATGGGCATTTTGCCCAGCTCTCTGGAGGTGCTTTTGCTCCTTTCAAGCCAAAAGCTTGCAAATGCCCCCCCAACGCTCCATGTCTCTTGGCAGCTCGATGCAGGTGAGCCGCCTGGAGCCCAGCGTCCAAGCTCAGATCCGGGAGGTGGACCCACAGCTGCACACTGTCTACTTCAACAAGGGGCTGTGAGCACAGGGCCGCTGCGTCGCTGAGCTCAGAGCGTCCCAAGGATGCAGCTGCTGCCCTGTGGCCGCCTCCTGTCCCCGGGTGCTTGGGTATAGCTGAGCCCCCATACCCAGCGGGCTCCCATCCTAGCACCTCCCCTGAGCTGTGCTTTGCTGCTCTCCCATCCCTTCATGGGGCTGTCCTGAGGGCCATCAGCCTGGTGCCAGGAGGAGGGGATATTTCCCTGGTGGCACAAGGCTAGTGGCAGCAGGGCTGGGCACTGGGCATGCGGTGCTTCATGAGGGTAGGAACAAAGGGGCCTCGTGTGCTGCTGCCATCCTCCTGCGGTGCTGCACATTGCAGGGACCTTGGGCAATATCATGGGGTGGCTGTGCTGCTGGTGTCCCTGCAAGCTCTGACCCATGTCCTAGCAGGCGTCTCCATCCTGCGTGTTTCCCATACCCAGTGTGTATGTGGCTGTGTTCAGGCTGTGTCCCATGGCATCCCCCAGGCTAGAGCCTCAGATGGATGCTCCCACCCTTGGGCATGGCATCCAGAGAACACAACCCCCCAGAAGCCAGGGCTGAGCACTATGAGATATACAGTGCAGTGGAGGAGGCCGCTCCAGCCTGGGTGTGTGTGCGCAGATCCCCGTGCGCTCTGCTCTGTGCTGATCCAGGGCTGTAATCTGGCTTTCCCTGGAGCAAATGGCACATTTTAATCTCAGCAGTCCCCATTTTATTCCCTTTAATGCAGCCTTTGCTCAAGGCTCGGCTCCTGCGTGGCTTCCTCCATGGACCTTCTCATATGGCTTTAAGCACATTGCTGTTTCCTCTGGTTATTTTTGTAATACATACTCCATACCTGTATCTACCGAATAATAAAGGCAGGTTTGTTTATACAAAAGCAGAGAGAAGTCCCTTGCTTACCGCTGCCCATGCCATGGAAAGGGGCTGGGGGCTGCCATGGGGACGCTATGGGATGGATGCTCAGCACAGAGCACGCAGCACCCATTAGGGATGCAGGAGCAGCCCCCACTCCCCCCAGCCCCGGCATATTGCACGTATCTCCCCCGAGCCAGCCATCGGCGGCTTATAAATAATGCAGCCCCTCGCCGTGCAATAAGGGCTTGTCAATTGCTGTTCTGCTCTCATAAATTAAAGATGAAAAGGTATAAGGCTCTTGCCAGAAAAATGAAGACAAATTTTTAATAGCTTGCCAAGACGCGGGGAGAGAGAGAGCGCTCAGGAAAAATGAATTACGTTTTTATTATGTGTTTTATTGTGGTGTAATTGAACGGGATTAGCTGAGAATACAATATATTTCCAGGGCAGAGCAAAGAAAACAAAAATAATGATGACACTTCTCCCCGCGCCCCGCCCCCCCAACCTGTGCAGGGACAGCTCGTGCTGCTCTGGGAGCAGCAGATGTGGAGCTATGGATGGTGACACGCTGCAGGTGGCACCGCTGCCACCCTAGTGACACGGTCCTATCCCACAGGTCGCAGTGCTAGGGCTGTCAGGGTCGGGGGGGCATCGATTGCTCCCTGGCATTGTTAATGAGCCGCCCAACCACAGGCTTTAACCTTGCCCATAATGAGGGCGAGCGGCAGCAATCCCTCCCGCTCCCCCAGCCTTAATGAGCTAATCAATACTTGTTCTCAGCTTAATTTCCAGCTAATTGCTCTTTAATGACGCCTGGAAATGGGCTGCCCGCTGGCAGGCTCCCTCCTCCCCACAGAGCGTCCCTGGGGTAAGGGGTGCCGGGTGGGGGTCACCTTCCCTGGCTGCGTCCCCAAATCCCTATTACAGGGGGCACAACGTTGTACCCTTGGAGGGGTGTCCCCAGGGTGATCGCATGATGGGGGTGCTTTGAGGTGAAGAGAGGTGTGGGGGGGCCGTGTACCTTGCAGGGACAGGGTCAGGCTGTGATGGCAAGGGGACGCAGACGAGGCCAGCAGCGCCCTGGAGGTGGCAGCAGAGACCCCATAGCCTGTCCCCACAGCTTCAAGAGCAGCATCAGCCTCCAGGGCCCTGGAAGTGTTTAGGCCAGCAAATGCAAAGGACCCCCCAAACACTCTGACTGCATCTCGTATGGGATGGGGCACCCTGTAGCAAAATGGGGACAGAGTTCCCAGTCCAGGTCCCCAGATCCCAGCCAGAGATGGCCCTTGGTGGAAGTGCTGGAGATGACCTCATGGGTGGCAGACACACTGGTGGCAAGGAGAGCACCAGCACTAGGCTGGGAAAAGCAACAGCCACGGGCAATGCTATTTTCATGGGGGTGGGATTGCAGAGCACAGCCCCCTCGCCGCAACTTCATAGGGCTGCATCCCATTGTAGAACCTGGCTGAGCTCCTACTTGCTCTGTGCCTGGGGTCAGGGGGGAGCCTGGTATGTGGCAGGGGGGTGGGAACCGTGCTCCTGACCCCAAGGTGTCAAAGCTGGCAGGAGGATGCTGAGCAGAATGCTTGGGGAGAGGGCAGTCCCTACAGCCCCCAGGAACTGGATGACCCACAGAGGTGATGGACTGCAGAGTGCCCAGTGACAGTGTCCCTCACCACCCAGACAGTGCTGCTGGGGGCCCCTGGGAAACCTGCATCCTTCCTGCACACAGCTGCAGCCGCTTCCCCAAGAATTTGCTGACGGGTTTGTTCTGGGCAGGAATTTGCTGTGGGGAAACCTGAGCCTAGTGGTGTGGGCCCTGCTTGGCACATGGGGTGGGGCCTCGTCCCCAACAGGGTCCAGTGGGATGCAGCCAGAACTCCACTGAGACACATGTGGAGCCAGGGTCAGAGTGGCAGGAAGCAGAGATGGGTATTGAGCTGAATCACAGGAGATTCAGGTTAGAATTAGAATCAGCCTCCGTGCTCTGAGAGCCATCCGGCGGGCCAGCAGCCCTGCTGACACGTGCTTTGCCCCGGGCGTCACGCAGCCTTCCGCCCTGCCAGAACTGACACAGTGTTGAGTCATCTGGCCCATGGCCTCTTTTCCAGGGTGGGATTTTGCTCATCAGCCTCAGCCTGTTGGGATCAGCCAGGACATCAGCCCAGGGCATGTCCGGGGCAACCTGGGATGGGCATGGAAGTAGTGATGGATGCACATGTTAGAACCCAGGAGGGATGCCACAGCTGAGGAGCATCGCAGGGGACCATCGCTGTGGGTAATAGTGATGAGAGCAGGTGGAGCCCTCCCACAGCCCTGAGATGCGCTATGCAATGAGGTACACTGACTGAACCAGAGCACAGCTCCTCATTAAGCACAGGTTAGATCTCCCACCCCCCTAATTCAGAGCTGCTGATATTTATTAGCACATTCAACAGTCTCATTAAGCGGGATGTTTAATTACCTGCCAGGCTGGGGCTCCATCTTTTTCCCAGAGATGAGCTAAGCTGTTTCCAGGTGCTGGGTTGGGCGAAGGCAGCACTGGACATAGGGATGTCCCAACTAAGGGGCACAGTTCCTCCCGGCTCTCCCTCTCCAAAATGCTCCTGGAGGTGCACAAAGTGGTACCTCAGCCCCCCCAGCTCCCAAAGCAGCCTCAGCAGTGCTCCTCCAGCCTCAGCTGCCCCAAATCCCACAGCTTCCAGCCCAGCCATGGGGCTGGGGGCCACCAAAGGGGAAGCAGAACCGGCAGGAAGCCCCTCGGCAGCACAAAGCCTTGTGCATTTTCCATCCTTAGCCTCGGCCAGATTTGTAGCATGCCTGAACGAAAGCTCCGGAGCCCAGAGTGGATTTGCAGCAGAGTTTTGGAAAGCAAAAGCAGATTTTTGCGGTGCAGAGAAAGAAACCAGATCCATCAAGGGGTCCCGGGATGGTTTTGGCTTTGCAGATTTGCCACAGAAGCAAATCTCACAAATTCTTTGCAGGGAGTTGGGGGGGGGCTGCAGGCTCCCCCAGCACAGCGCTTATGCTCAGCCTAGGACAGAAGTGGGTGCCTTCGTAGATCCCACTGGGGAAACTGAGGCACGGGGGCTCTGGAAGCTGCGTGTTGCTGACGGATGGAAGATCCCGGCCCGGCAGGGAAGGGGTGGCCGCCAGCGCAGGGCCCGTCCGGAGCTGGGCCGGGGCCCGCGGGGGGGCGTGGGGACTGGCGTGGCGCTGACATCACGGCCGGTGGCAGCGGAGCCCCGCGCCGCGCGGCTGCCAAAGCCATTGTGCATCGCAGCCGTCGGTGGCGCCCGCACAGCGTTCCGGTAAGTGCTGTCGCAAGCGGGACCCTCACCCCGGGACAACCCTCATAGAGATTCAGGGTAGCGTTGTATCGTCCGCCCCTTTCCTGGCCCCTTTTCCTGGGGTTGGAGCTTTCCTCCCTGCAGTCCGGGGACAGGGAGGGAGGGCAAGCAGGACCCCCCCCCCCCCCCCCCCCCCCCCCCTTTTCCCCCGCTGCCGGGGGGTCGCCGGCTAATGGGGCAGAACTCTGCTCTCCCTTTTGTAATCCGGGGGGGTAACAAATCCCTGTCAGGCTTACTTTGGGCTGCCTTAGTCTGGCTCCTGTGGGGCTACCAGGGGGCTGAAGCCCCGCCAGGGGAGTGGGGGCTCCCAGAAGGGGGTCAGGTGCGTCTCTCCATGCTGGATTTTACCTCTCTGCCTCCACTTGCTGCAGGGCAGATGGCTGTAACTTCACTCTGCCCCTCCAGCACAGGAGGTGAAAGCTGGGGGCTGGGGGAGGGCACAGCTCAGATGGACCTGCACATTCTCCCCAGCAGAGATGGGATGCCTGAGGGCAGATTGGCCCCTCTGCTTGCTGCAGGAGAGGGGTTAACATAGGCTGGGGGGTGAGAACCCCGTTGTTCTCACTTGTGCACCGAGTTCCCTGGTGCTCAGCCACCAGTGTGATAACTGTGGAATTTGAAGAGTTTTCCTGGTGTGGCTTGATGTGGGGCTCAGAGCAGGGAGAGGAGGACAAAAGCCAGGCATGACTGGGAGCATCCTTCTGGCTCTGTTCCCCTGGGCTGGCTGCCTCCTGCATGGAAAGAGTCCTTCGTCTGCTTCTCTGGGCAGTGATGGAGGGAAAAATCCTCATGACTTTTGAGGAGAGGTGAGAAAAGGAGAGGGGTGCCTGGCTCCAGAGCTGCTCCCTGAGAGGAGCAGAGCACAAAGCAGTCAGGAGAATATGAGGCAGCCCCTCAAGTGGGATTACAACAGGCTGTGTTCTACCTGCTGGGGGAGAAGGCTGAAGCCTGTGGGTATGGGTCAGCATCCAATCAGGGAAGCGGATGAAGGGGTTGCACAGCAGCACATTTTGGGGGTGGGAGCCGCTTTTGTAGCGTGGTAGGAGGTGGAGGATCCCGAGATGTGGCACATCACACAGTGCTGCTATCACATGTTCTCTTCCTTGCAGATTGCGATGGCTGCTTGGCTCTGACCCATCCAAATCTCCACCCGAGTGATGCTGGAACCGGGCTCTGGGAGCGGCCACGAGGATGCCTGAGGTGCTGAGCTCCTCCTGCCTGCTGCTCTCCCTGCTCACCCTGCACTGGGCTTGCCTCCAACCCGGCCGAGCTTTCCCCAGCAGCGCTGAGTACCTGCAGCGGGGCTGGCAGCGTCTGCTGGAGGAGGGTGAGGGCTGTGCCGAGTGCCGGCCAGAGGAGTGCCCGGTGCCGCGCGGCTGCCTGGCCGGCACGGTGCGGGACGCCTGTGACTGCTGCTGGGAGTGCGCCAACCTGGAGGGACAGATCTGCGACCTGGACAACACCAACCACTTCTATGGCAAATGCGGGGAGCACCTGGAATGCCAGCTGGAGGCTGGAGACCTGCAGCGTGGCGAGGTGCCTGAGCCCCAGTGTGCCTGCCTCTCGCACCAGGCGCTGTGTGGCTCCGACGGGCGCACCTACCCCCAGATCTGCCGCTTCCTCGAGTCTGCCCGTGCCCACCCTGATGCCAACCTCACCGTGGTCCATGAGGGTCCCTGCGAGGCAGGTAGTGTGTGAGGAGAGGGAGCGCAAGGATGGGAGGTTGGCTTCGATATTTCAACCAGAGGCCCCTCTGCAGTGGGTCTGGTGCAGGGTGAGGCTGTGCCAAGTCGGCTCGGGATTTATGGGAGGCAGTGAGCACTGCCGGCTGGGGCAGAGCCAGGCGTCGTTAACGAGCTTTTGGCTGCAGCGTGCATGGAGTGTGGCTGGGGCCAAGGAACGCCCCAGGAACGTGGCTCCTTCATGGAAAGCTGGGCCAGGTCAGGGGGCTGCACTGCTTCCATCTCCCGTTTGAAGCCATGTGTGTGACTATGGGGCTTGGGACAACCCTCTGACACCACTCACTGCAGCTCAAGGAGGGGATTGGGGTTGACTTTGTTTTCTGTATCTTGTGGTATCTTTGAGCTTTTTCCCTCTTGGCTGCCAATAAGAGCTGGGACAGGCACAGGAAGAGGAGATTTGTGGCCAGGACAGGAGACCTGAAGGCTGCATCACAGGGGAGCTCCTTGTTCAGGTGGGGGAAGTGAGGCTGGGAGGAGTTGGAGCCCTCCATGGGTCACTGGGGAGCTGGGGGGTGACCTTCTGCAAGTATGCGTGAGGAGAGGGAAATGGGAAGGGTCCTGGCATCACTACCAGAGCCTGATACCCTCAGCCCAGTATTCTTCCCTGTGTCCTTCCCATCTTCTATTCCCAGAGCCTCAAATCACCTCCCCTCCTTATGATGTGTGGAATGTCACTGGCCAGGACGTCATATTTGGCTGCGAGGTCTTTGCCTACCCCATGGCGTCCATCGAGTGGAGGAAGGATGGCACAGAGATGCTGCTGCCAGGAGATGACCCCCACATCTCTGTCCAGGTGAGCGGCTGGCATAGGGGATGGTGACCGAGATGTAAAAACATATCTGGTCATTGCTGAACTTGTATACATGGGACTGCACAGGGGGATCAGCCTGGTTCATCTCTGCTTACCATGCATGCATTCTGCCTGTGACAGCCCCAAATATAGCTCTCTTGGGTCATACCCAGCTATTATAGGGTGTGGATGGAGGCATCCTCCATCCCTGGCCACCGCACTGAAATAGCTGCCTGCAAACACAGCTGCAGCACAGCTGGGGCCGGAGGAAGCTGTTTCTTGCTGGGGACAAACAGGACATAGCACGGTTGGCGCCAGGGAGCTTAGGGCTGGCTCCCACCCCAGAGCAGTGCTTAATAGGGTAAAGAGAGCTTCTCCGCATCCCACTCCTCACAACCCCAAAGAGTCATCCCAAGGGGGGTTCCCTCACCCTGGGGCTCACTGCTGTCTCTCCCTTTGCAGTTCAGAGGTGGCCCCCAGAAGTACGAGGTGACCGGCTGGCTGCAGATCCAGGGCGTGCGGGTGACAGATGAGGGCACGTACCGCTGCTTCGCCAGGAACAGGGTCGGGGCTGTGATGGCAGTGGCCAGCCTGACCGTCCTCACTCCGGGTGAGCAGAGGGAGGGGACCTTTGGGCAGGGCACTGGCTTTCAAGGGTGGCAGTGTCACAGAGTCCCCGTGCTGCTGTTTCAGACCAGCTCAACCTGACGGGCTTGTCCTTGCCGGAACCCCGTGCCGTGCCTGAGGACTACGTGGACAGCGAGGAGGAGTACTACTAGCCCAGCTGCGGAGCTTGGCACTGAGCAGCACTTGCCCCATGGTGCTTTGGGGTCAGGGATGGATCCAGAGCACACACCCCAGCCCTGAACAACTCTCTGAACACCTCTGTTTTGGGCTGGAGACAGAGAATCAGAGAATGGCCTGGATTGGAAGGGACCTCAAGGATCATGAATCTCCAACCCCTCTGCCACAGGCAGGGCCACCTCCCCATTTAATACTAGACCAGGTTGCACAGGGCCCCATCCATTCTGGCCTTGAACACCTCCAGGGACGGGGCATCCACAACCTCTCTGGACAGCCTGTTCCAGATGACAGTGTGGCTTGTGTGTCACCCTCAGGCAGGGACACCCAGGAACTTGCTGCCAAAACGCCCTTCTTTCCCATCTTGTTCTTAATCAGAAAAGTAGTGATTTGAGGCAACCTGACATTTGTGGTTTCACCCCTGGACAATGTTGTCCTGAAAGCCCACGTGGCCACAAACGCTTTGGCCTTTTTGGATCGGCTTTATGCTTCTTCTCCCAAGCAGCTCTCTATGGTGACATCTCAGTGAGTGATGAGCCAAGTGTACACGCAATGCTCTGAGCAACCAACAGGGATCGTCCCATGGGGTCCCTCCAGGTTGGCTGCTCTCCTTCCCTTTCTTCTTTCTTTCCTTCCTCTTTCTCTTGAGAGCTGGCTCAGACGATGCAATTACAGCATCAAAACCTGAGCGAGCAAATAAAAGGGGTTTGTCTGAAGTTGGCAGCGGCCTGAAATTCCTTCAGCCAGTAAGGCTGGGCTGGCCCCTACCCATGCTGCAGCCAGCAGTAACGCCTCCCCAACCCCACCACGTCCCTGCACCTCTGCGGTGTCTCCTGGGCTCTTTCCATGATGGTGAATTCCATGGAGCTGGGACAGCCCTGGCTCCTGTGCTGCTTCTGCTGCTGCCTGAGCCGTTTTCCCCCACTGCTAATCCCCTCCCTGTTCTGTACACCAAGTGTTTGTGGAACTGGGCCATGCTGTGGCTGTGGCTGCAGTAGGGAAACCTGAGAGCATCCCATGGCTCGGAGCCACCTGGCCCTTTGCTGGCCCCTAGCCATGCTCCTGTGCCAGCCCTGCCTGTGCCACTGCATCACCAGGCTGGTGGGGACTGAGGGGCTGGAGCCCGTCCATAGGGCAGCAGCTGCAAATCCGGGTCTCCACTCCCTGCAAGGCAGTGGGGTTGGTGTCCCCTGTGCCACTTAAAAATTAAAGGAGCTGATATCGCTATGTGCCTGGAATCGGTCACTGCCACAGAGCATAATTGAGGTTATTTGTTGCCTCTGAAATGTTTGGCCAGCTCTGCACGGGTGCCTCCTTGAGGGGATGCATGAGGATAATGCTCAGCTCCGGACACCTAGAGGGTTCTGGGGATCTGGGGAGCCTCACTAATATGGCCACCAGGTGCACATGCCCCAGCACCTCCTGTCTGCCCAGGGCACTCCATGATACCAAAGGCTATTGCAGGGCTGGGGACAAAGGAAAGGGTCCCATCCTGCTGTCACCCAGGGATGTGCACTGAAGGAGCGGTCAAACCTCCACCAAACCCAAAGCCCTGTAGGGTACATGCAAGGTTGGTGCTTCTTTGTCACCCCAAATGTTTTGGCTGCTCTGGTTGTGCACTCACAGATCAAGCTCTGGAATCAGTTGTTTTCTGCCACAGATCTGTGGTTTCTTGAGCCCAAATCCACAGTGCATGCAACCCCTGCTGCTGGGTTTTTCCACAGCCTCTTGCACGATGGCACATTCTGATCCACAGGACACTCCAGGACCAGGGTGGTGACTGCCCAGGGGTGACACGAGGGTGTCCCACTGCCCTAATGGACACTCTCAGTGCTCGTCCCACCCTCGCGTCCTGGTGCTACTAGCGGCTTGTTCAGGCGCACTCATCCTGAGCAGCCACCGAACCACGGGGAGCGGGAGCTGCAGTCCTCCCAGCAGCTGCCGCCGTCCTTCCCCGGACTCGGGGGACCGCAGTGCTGTCCCCATCCACCGCCGAACAGTGCCACCTCCCGGCGGAGCCACCGCGGGACGCGGAGCTGAGCACCCGATGCAGCTCCCTCGCTTGGCCGCGGGGAAACTAAGGCGCGGAGCAGCCAAGCTATAGAGACTCAAGTGCTGCGGCCACCTGCGAGCAGGACCTCTGTCCCCAGCCTGTCCCAAACCCTGGGAACAGCAGCATCTCTTGTACCCTCTGCACGGTGACCCCTCCTCACCCCAATTCAGGTTGAAGAAGAGCATTTCCCTGCCTCTGCCCAGCACTTACGCTGGCTGATAAATAAAATGGAAACTAATCCTCCAGTGTTTGCAGCAAATGGGTCTCCACGGGGGGTGGCTTTCAATAATTCGAATGCCGCCGCAGCGCAGAGCCCACGCCAATGGGTTTTAATAAACACTGCCTTAATGTGACATGCAATTTATTATTCAGCTTAAAACAGGAAGCAAAGAGTTTAATAACAGCGGCAGGTTGCCATCTCTGGCACTGCGAGGTGCTGGCTGAGAGGGGGTGGCACGTCCCCCAAACTGAGGCGCTGGGATTGGGGTATGCTTTGGGGAGCGCTGGTTTGGCTGTGCCTGATGCCTGGGGGGTTATCTGGGCAGTGTAGGGGGATGGCCTTATCGCAGAGCTGGCTGCTGTCTCTCCTCGCGGTGTTTTTGGCCCTGGGGCTGTTCTCTGTCACTTCTCTGGTCCGTAACAGCCGGAGGCAGGCGGAAATGGGAGCCTCCGTGCCTGGTCCCTGCTGCTTCCAAAGTGGGGAGATCTGGCTCACAATTACCACGCCTTTGGCTTGGCAGGCCTCAAAGTGTGAGTGATGGCAGCAGCCGCTGCACCCATGAAGGTTGGGGGGGTTCCTGTGCTCTTCCACAGCTTGCCAGCCCCATGCCCCGGGGAAACTGCAGCTCCTGGGTGAACAACCTGCAAATTCACATCCCAGATCTGGGATGTCCTGGGAGTGCAGTGATAGACTGGAGCACATCAGAATGGGTCTCCTGACCTTGAGTCACCCCAAACCCCACCTCTCTCTCTCTGCCACCCACCCACGGTTATGGAAGGGTTAAGCTGGAGGTCCCAGCTGAGCAAGTGCTCTCTGGGACATCCCGCAGCTGCCCAGTGTCCCCTCTGCCCCTGCCCTTATCCATCTCTCTTATGCACCCGGGCAGGATCAGGGTGCTTCCCTCTGCCTCCTGATGAGGAGCAGACCTGGTGGAAGTGGGGATGGGGTCCATAAAAAGGAGTCCCTGTTCCTGGGTCGGGGGCCAGCATCTGGGCAGGGACATTTTGCTTGTCCTGTGCCAGAGCATCCCTAGCAACATGGATGCTGCCTTGGATGTGCTGTTTAATTAAATGTGAAGGGCTCCCGTGCTTCAGCCCTTGCTGCAGCCTGAGCGACTTCAGGAAAGAGGCCTTTTATTAAAAGAGAGAGAGGCTCTGCCAGGCAGCCATCAAACAGCACGTTTAATTGTCTCGGCTTGTTTAGCTGTCGTGCTGGGAGGGATGTGCTCCCATCCAGGTCCCCAGGCTGTGCAGCCCAGGAGGATTGCTGGGGTTGGGAGCTGCACCTGGGGTACCAAGCCCACAGCTTCATCCTGGGGGAGAATATTTGGTGCTGTGTTTGGTCTCCAGGAGAGAGCCACAGCTTTCCCCTGTCTGGGCCAGGCTAGAACTCAGCATTGGGAGAGGAAAACAAAGATCAAGAGGGGGAGGAAATGTGGGCTTTTATCAAAATCTCCTACTTCAAAGTTGTCCGGCTGAAGTGCTCCCCTTTGGTTTAATTTGAAGTGATGTTTCCTTCAGCGACTGCAGTAAATGGCATCAAATGAGGCTGAAGCAGCCGGAAAGCCTGGAGAGGAAGCGTGTCCTTGGGGAACGGCTGGAGTCAGACCTTCCCTGCGGGTTCAGCCACAAGATGGGGACAGGAGGTGGAGCTCCTGCCCTGTCCTGGGGCTCTGCAGAGGGGCTTTGGGTCCAGTTGCTTCCAGCCCCACTACTGCAGTGTTCTCTGCCCCTATCCCACTAGGGCAACCCCTGGTTTTGAGGGTGATGCAGCTGCAGCTCTACCCTGGTGCATCCCCCAGCCCGCAGCCCCTGGGGCTTTGGCAGCCCCTCCACATGGCTGAGAGCTAAACCAGACTGCAACAAGCTGCAGGCGACTTGCAGGGGAAGGGGCACAAATCCATCTTCCTGATGGAGCACTCTGGGCTGCCTTGAAACTGAAGAGGATATTCCCCTTCTCCCTGCTCCCATGGCCAGGGAATTGCCCCTCTTTAGAAGTATAAGAAGGATGAGCAGAACCATATTCTCTTCTTCCATCCTGGCATCCCTGCTCCAAGATGACAGGTCACTTCTTCCTCCCCATGCCCCCTCCTCTGCCTCCCCCAGCTCCGCTAAGCGCTCCTGGCTGCTCTGGGATGAAGCAGGCGGGCGCAGAGTTCATGGGAGCCGTACCTGTGCTTTGTCTTCATCTGTCACCCCTGCTGACAGTCAGATCCATCTTAAACTGGGAGCGAGAGGGGAAGAGAGGGAAGCAATAATTAACCTCTGCGCGGGCCGCTCCCGAAATGCCGCGCTCTGGTGATGCACGAGGAGACGGCAGTGACACTTTTATTGCTGCTCCAGCGCTGCTCAGTGCGTGGAGGAGGTGATGTGGCTGGGCTGGGACACCTGAGGCTTTATTATGGCAGAGGATCCATGGGGCACGTGGCTCAGTTGGGGTGTGGGTCAGTGGTCTGCATAGGCCTTGGGGGGAGATTTGGAGCTCTAGGTTCATGTGGCGATACATAACATGCAACTGGACCTTGTCCTGGCACTTCTGGGACTGTCAGAGCAGTGGCAGCACTTTCCTGCATACCGATGCCCACTCAGCAGCTGTTTCAGTTTCATCTATTAGAAAAGTGAGAGCAAATCAGTGCCAGCTATGCTTGCAGCCAAACCCCAGGTTGTGCCAATCCAAAGGGGCTCTTGGCACAGCCAGGGAGGCACTAAGCCCAGGTGGGTTGGCATCCTGGCAAGGGGCAGCACCCTGAACTGCAAGCATCGCAGTGAGCCCCAGAGCAGAACACAGCCACTGCACTGAAGCAGATATCACCTGTATGAGTTGGAGATGGGGGAAACTGAGTCATGGAGGGTGGGACTGATGTCTCTAAGTCTCATACATTTCCTTCTTCTAATTGCAAGAGC